ATGATTTAATTGTCCATCTATGGATAAATGGATTTCTCTCTCTCTCTCTCTCTCTCTCTCTCTCTCTCTCTCTCTCTCTCTCTCTCTCTCTCCTTCACACACACACACACACACACACACACACACACACACACACACACACAAACACACACACACATTGGAATATTATTCAGCCTTAAAAAAGAAAACACAAATAAGTAAATCCTGCCAGTTGTAAAAACAAATGAACCTTAAGGGCATTATGCCAAGTTAAGTCAGATAAAGTCAAATACCATATGATCTCATTTACATGGGGGAAATAAGACAAGCAAACTCATAAGAAGATAAGGTTTGTGGTTAACAGAGGCAAAGGTAAAGGGAAGGGGAAATTAGAAGAAAGTGGTCAAATGTAGTAACTTCCTGTTAAAAGATAAATAACTACTGGAGATGATAACTATATTTAGCACTGCTGTACTAGTATGATATACTAGTATATGTGAGTTGTTAGGAGAGTAAATCCTGAGAGTTCTCATCAAAAAGAGAAGTGCTATCAGTTTGTTGTTGTTGTTATTGTTTGTTTTTTTGTTTTCTCTTTTTATTGTGTCTAGATGAGGTGATGGATGTTGACTAAATGTATTCTAGTAATCATTTCACAATATATGTAAGTCAAACCACTATACTGTTCACCTTGAATTTACACAGTAAATGTATATAAGTTGTATCTCAATAAAACTGGAAAAATATTTTCTTCAACAAAATATGATGGCACCGAGAAGAGAACATCCAATCATCCTCACCAATAAACCCACCTCTCTACAGTCTGCATCTTCCATCTTGGAAACAATCCTGCTTGCCCAGAAGTGAGTAGCCCTCTTCTACCTCTTTAGGAATTCTAAAGATGGTCATGTCATTTCCCACCCCACTGTGTGCCCAGCAAGCCTCCAGTGATGCACCTTCACTATAGCCTGATTCTCCTATTCCTCTCAGACATAAGTTATAGGGAATTAAAACAATAAGACCTTAAAGATCCTTGCCAGGTAGCTGGGATCTTTCTCACTTAGCATGAGCAAATTAATAGAGTTTTTGTTCAATTATAGTTTACATTCAATCTTATATTTTATTTATATTCATTTCAGGTGTATAGCATAGTGATTAGACAATCATATACTTTACAAAATGGACCCCTTAATATTTCATGTACCCAGATTGAAGGGTCCCAGGTTTGATTTTGGTCAAGAGTATGTGCCCAGGTTGTCTATCTCCAATGGCAGGGGGGGGGGGAGGGGGGAGCTAATGTTAATTAAAGAAGTTAATATACATAATCGTTATAATACCAACGGCTCAGCACACGATATCGCATGAGACCCAGAGGCAGAACCCAGACTCCTGGACAAGTTCCCACCCATCCACATGCGCCTTGCAACACATACAGCCCTGCCCACCCACACATGCCTTGTTTTGCAGGCTAGGAAGGGATTGAAAAAATATTCAAAGTGATAAAAAGCAAGGACCTACAACTAAGGTTTCTACCCAAGTTATCATTTAGAGTTGAAGGACAGATTAAGAGCTTCTCAGATCCTAGCTAGCTTTGCTCATTGGATAGAGCAGCAGCCTGCAGACTGAAGGGACCTAGATTTGATTCTGGTCAAGGGCTGGGTTCTATCCCCAGTGTGTGTGTGTGTGTGTGTGTGTGTGTGTGTGTGTGTGTGTGTGTGTTGGGGGGGGGCGGCTTCCGGAGGCAGCAAATCAATGATTTTCTCTCATCATTGATGTTTCTATCTCTCTCTCTTCCTCTCTGAAATCAATCTTACCTAATAATAGACAAGCATGTAAATTGACCATATCTCGGCTACACCCACAGCCTATCAGGAATGAGTTTGCAAATTAACCTGCCAGTGGTGGGTTAATTTGCATATGAATGCATGGAGTGATAGGGAAGGGCAGAACATCTGCTATGAGGGGGAAAGGGGGTGGCAGAGGGACCTACAGGAGCAGTGCTCTGGCAGGAGTGAAGACTTCAGACTCCCAAGTAGCCAGGAGCAAAGCCAGAGGAAGGGAGGCCTATTCTTGCATGAATATCATGCAATGGTCCTCTAGTAAAAATATAATTTAAAGAGAGATAGCAACATCAATGATGAGAGAGAATCATTGATTTGCTGCCTCTTGAAGATTCTCTCTCCTCCCTGCTCACCCCCCCCCCCCCCCCCCCCCCCCGCCATTGGAGATAGAATCCGACAACCTGGGCACATACTCTTGACCAAAATCAAACCTGGGACCCTTCAATCTGTAGGCTGATGCTCTATCCACTGAGCAAAAACAGCTAGGGCCTGAGAAGCTCTTCATCTGTCCTTCAACTCTAAATGATAGTTTTGTTTGGTAGAAACAAACCTTGGTTGTAGGTCCTTGCTTTTTATCACTTGAATATTTTGTCAATCTTTTTCTGGCCTGCAAAGTTTCTGTTGAGAAATCAGCTGATATTCTTATTGGAGCGCCCTTGTAGGTAACTACTTTTCTCTTGCTGCTTTTAAAACTCCCTCTTTGTCTTTCACTATCGCTTTACTTTACATCCCCATGATGTGCCTTAGAGTGGGCCTCTTTGGGCTCATCTTACTTGACACTCTTGGACTTGTATGTCTATTTTCTTCACCAGGTTAGAGAACTTCTCTGTCATTATTTTTTTCCAAATAGGTTATTAATTCCTTGCTCTCTTTTTTCTGCTTTCTGCATCCCTGTGATGAAAATAGTGGCATGTTTGTTACATGTTGTCCCAGAGGCTCCTATACTATCCTTATTTTTCTTAAAATCATTTTTGTTTTGGCTCTTCTGATTGGCTGTTTTCTGATTTTTATCTTCCAAATATCTTATTTGAGTACCTGCTTCATCTATGCTAATGTTAATTAAAGAAGTTAATATATTATTAATTTCTAACTGATTTTTGTTTTCTATATTCACTTAAAAATAAATATATACATATTGATTTCAAAGATAGAGGGGGGAGAGAGAGAGAGAGAGAGAGAGAGAGAGAGAGAGAGAGAGAGAGAGAAACATATCAGTCCACAGGTCAATGCTCTATTTACTGAGCAAACTGGCTAAGGCTCTATATTCCTTTTTAGGTTTCCTTTGTTTTTGTTAAAGCTCTCAGTAAGTTTCTATTCTTCCCCTAAAATTTTTGACTATTCTTGCACCGGTATTTTGAACTCTGCACCTGATAGATTTCTTGTCATGAGCCTCTGGGACAACATGAAACAAATATACCAATATTTGCATCACATGTGTGCAGGAAGGAGAAAAAAAGAGAGCAAAGAATTAGTCACCTGTTTGTCTGATAGATTCCACTTAGTAGTTCTATTTCTGGAGATTTGTTCTGTTCTTTCATTTGGGATGTTTTTCCTCTGCCTCGTTTGGCAGCCTCCCAGTGTATGTTTCTGTGTATTAGGCAGAACTGCCATGTATCCTGGACTTTTAGAGTAAACGTATGTAGTGGGCATCCTGTAGGGTCCAGGTAGTTATGAGTGATGGTTATTCTATAGTTTAGTTGTAATTTTGAGGTGTTTGTGGGAGAATTTGAGTGACTTATTTACTTGTGCTACCATCTTGAGCAGAACCCTAAATTTCATTAATTTTATGTTAAATATCTCTTACATACCCACTAAATTCATTTTCACTTTAATTATTTTAGCTACAGGTATCTCTTTGTGAAATTGCTACACTATCTCTTTTTATTTTATTGTTCTTTGCTTATATCACTGAAACCCACATAGTATGTGAACTTATAATTGGCCAGCATCACTTAAATTATTTTACTCCTTTGCTTAGAACTATTCAATAGCTTCCCAAGACTCTTTGAATAGACATGTAGACCCCAGCAATGGCAAACAGAATACTATTGATTTAAACACCCCTTTTCTCCTTAACCTCTCCTTACAACTATCAGCCACACTTTAAAGAGGTTCTATGATCCATTTCTCCTACATCCTCCTCACATATTAACTCTGCTATAACATCTTCATGCCTATTTTTACCAGTTAATTTCTCATATACTCCCATATTTCAGTTCAAGGCACACTCTTCAGGAAACTTTTCTCTAACCAGTCTCAATGTGATTCTTTTTGAGATCCACATCCTCAAAGAATTTTATTTTAATCTTTTTATTGCTAGTCATGGGGATTATTTTAAATTTAAGTTTATTTGAAATTTGATTCTCCAGTGGACTGTGATCTGCATAGGCAATATTTTATATCTGCTTGTAGTTAGAACATTTTTGTTTAGTGTTATTCCTGTCTCATACCTTAAAATAATAGCCAAATGAATAGTGATACTACCTTGAGGACTGATTTCCTTTTCCCTAAATATTAACCTAATATAAAATAAAATATGTAAAATGTTGTTCAAAATATAAAAATTAAGTAAATAAACATGAATTTAAGGAAGCCTTTATCAAATGGCCCCCAAATCTTAATAACACAGATATTAATAAAGTTATTTATGCATAAATTTTTAAAAATATATATGTATAGTGGGAATTTTTCAATATCAATGACTCACTGGGGTTTGTTTATCATAATACACTCCCACAAATAAATTAAGAAAGCATGAACATCCTAATGGAAAATAAACAAGAGATATGAACAGAGAAGTTCAAAGAAAGACATGTAAATTAATACATCAAACTGAAAAACTGATAAAATCGATGGTTTATAGCAATAGTATTAATTAAATATAACAAAAAAAACAGATTACACTTAATCTTCCAGATGTATCAGAAATATTTCCTTTCTCTACTTAACATTTAGAAAGAAGAACACAGGATAATGACAAACAAATCAATCCATGAACCTAACAAACACCAAATCCATGAAGTCAAGAGCAGACCCCTGATGAGCTTCATAGATGTCATTGTATCATTTGAAGAAGTGGAGGCTGTCACAGAAAGTTTAGAGACCTTGTGAATTTCATTGCTTTCAATTCAAAGAAATCTCTGATCCTCACCTTCTTTCCTGGACAGTCACCCACATCAGTGTTTAGTTTTCAGTTGTATGTTTAGTTAAAAGGCGGCGAATGCCATATTGAATTTGCTTGGTCTTGACACTGTAAATGATAGGATTCATTAAAGGAGGAAAGAGAAAGTATACATAGCTCATTATAACGTGGACCACTTCTGGCACATTTTTCCCAAACCTATGAATAAATGACAGACCTATAACAGTGACATAAAAGATGAGGACACAACCGATGTGGGAGATACAGGTATTGAGGGCCTTGGCTCTCTCTTCACCAGAGGCTATGCCCATGACAGTCTTAAGAATTAGGATGTAGGAGAAAAGGATGATCAAAGAGTCTAAGAAGATTGTTAAAGAAATCAGAATGACAGGGTACAGTCTATTGAAAGTTATGTCAGCACAGGCCAGTTTCATAATTTCTTGGTGAAGACAGAAAGCATGAGAGAGAACATGAGAGTGACAATATGGAAATGAAAAAAGACGCACAATTACAGGCACAATGGATATGAAACCCCTCAGAAAAACTCCCATCCCTAACTTCACCACTCGAGAATTGGTGAGAATGGAAGTATATCTCAAAGGATTGTGAATGGCAATAAAACGGTCATAGGCCATGGCAAGCAAGATACCTGACTCTACAATGGAAAGAGAGTGAATACAGTAGGCCTGCAGGAAACAGGCTCCATGGCTCATCTCCCGATGATTCAGCCATAATACACCCATTACAGTTGGCATCGTGGTCAATGTCACCATCAGATCTGTTCCCGCCAGCATGGCAAGGAAATAGTACATGGGTTCATGGAGAGCGTGGTCATCCTTGATTAGGTAGAGGAGAGTGCCATTGCCAAGAAGTACAGAGACATAGATTGCAAAGAAGGGGATGGAGATCCAGTGATGAGCTGTTTCCAGGCCTGGGAAGCCAGTCAGCAGAAAGGGGGCAGCACTAATATTGGGCCACATAATATGTCTACAGGTGAAGAACAGCTTTCTAGAAATCTTTAATCCAGGAAACCAGATATTTCAGGAGTGATATATCATGGCAGTATCAGTCACCATCTTTGAACTTTGGAATAATTAAATATAACTCTGAAACTATTTCCCTGCAGGAGAGTAGAGACTTGCAGGTATCAGACGAGATGAGGAATGTTGGTCTTTCCCTAATTAGAACAAAATGTTAAGTTAATGCTTAACATATACTCAAATTTGAAAAATATTATTATTCTTAAAACATCAGTTCTTACTTGTATGTATCTTTAAATTTTTTTTCAGCAACAGTGATAACAAACAAGATAAATAAGTACAAATGAATAATAATTGCACTTAGCTGCTTTCCTGTTCTGATTGCTAATTTTTAAGACAGTTTAATTATGATCTTGATTTTTTTTTACAATTATGGAAAACACATACACATATTATTTTTTAAAAAAAATACTTTTTTGTTTTTGAAATTGAATGTCAGTGTTTTGGGAACTAACAGGCATCACTACCCCCTTCCAATTGATTTGTTGCTCCAGTAATTACCCCTTTCTTGAGACTGGCTACCAGAACTATGGTCCACCAACCAGCCACAGCTAATAAGTATGTGGATGTGTTAGACATGATGCCTTGACCTCAACTTCCAACTTCCTGAATCAAAATTTGCATTTTATCACAATGCGCAATAATATCTGAGAAGTACTGCTCCAAACATATCTTATCTATTCCACCTTTGAAATAGATGTTTTTTCTATTTTTCTACCTGGTTTATTATCTCATTTCTTCTAAATATTCTCATGCAATAGTTTTTATTGTTCCTTCACCATTCACTGGTTCTTGTTTCTAAAATCATTTCACATAATTATGTGTTCAGATTCTTTCTCTATATTTTCACTTAGCCCTATCTCCTTTTCCTCCAACATTTAGCTCCTGAAGAGTTGTTGCTTATATGACTGGTCATATTATAATGCTCCCACACCTTAAATATGTCAGTCATCTCCACTATGTCAATATTCTTGGTTGCCACAATCCAAAATTGAGGACATATTACCTTTTATGCTGCAGACTTATTTCATCAAACATTTGGAAGCATCAAGGTGTGTCTGCATACTCAGCAGGAAAACGCTTTCCTCCTTCATAGAATGTCCTTAGTAGCAGAAGTAGATCAGAATCAGGACAAATCAACTCTTGTGTTACAAAATACTCCGGAGTTATATCTGCATTGACATGATGCTCATTGAGATAAAAATCACCAATACTATATGATTCCTAAAATTAAAGTACATTTTAAGTCATATAGAAATTTAAATTATAATTGTGCAAATGTTGTTCTGTCCATGTAATATTCTTTAGGCTTAAAAAGATAGACCTTAAAATAAAATAGTGAATTGTGAATCCATCACAAAGTCCAAATAAATAAGTGAACAGCAAAGACAGTGTGATACCTTTCCCTTTCACCCTTGTCTGCTCTTTATATACACTCCACCCTTCCTGAGTGGAATAGGGGAAAGGCTCCCCTAGGCACCAGGGTGATGGGCCAGAGACAGCATCTCAGCATTTAACCTTCTGAGTCTCACTCATAATTATCAATGTCCTTTATAAGAGAGCAGTTCCTTAAGCAAACACAGCCTTCTGTTAGGATCTAATAAAAACTATAATTTTCTATCCAGATAAATTAATAAGAGCACATAATGTCACATTTAATTTAGGGCATTCCCTATTATCCTACTTTCCAATCTAGTCCAGATTAGAAAATCCAAATCCAACAGTTTCTTTAATACACTTATTGGAAAGAAAGAAAGAAAATCTGGGCTATAGTGTTGCCCACATCAGCTGAAATCTTCGCTCTTTGCAAACTTCTGGAAAAACTTTTAAAATTGTTTTTCCTTGATTGCATCTAACATTAGAGGGGAAAGGAGTGAATTCATAGTTCTGTCCCTCACGTTCATCAATTCAGGTCTTGTTATTGGAACAGGTACCTGTTGCTGAACTATTTGAAGACTCAGGCCAGATGATTTCCTCATATAGCCTCGCCCAAGAGGTTTCATTAGCTCACTATGTACATAGAAATCACCTCCCCAGAGTTACATCTTTATAGACACTCAAGAGATTCTTTGATTTCTCTACCTTCTCTCTTCTCTAAACAAAATGTTTCCCAAAAGATTTGTCAAGAAAACTAGAAATTGAAAGGCCAGCAGATATAGAAACATCAGGACTTGGTATGTGACATCTTCTCTACACCCAGACACCTAGAATCCTAGGCATTGGGATTTAAGAAATCAACGAATGTCCTTTTCCTTACGTCCTTCAAATGCCAAACATGATTTAATTGATCCCAGGGACACTTGTACCATCTTTGTTCCTAGAATTCATGAATTCCAATTGAAATTTTGTTTTTTTCTGTTTGTTTGGGGGAAAGTAATTTCTGATACAGAAGAACATTAATAAATTCCTTAATAGCCATGTACATGACAGTCAATTTTTTTTCTTAAAATTATTTTAACATATTTAATCGGTTTGTGCCAGGTTCACAGTGAGCAACTTGGTCTCCCCCCCCCCCCCCGACCCCCACAGACTATAACACAATAGTGGCTATTAGAAAGAAAATATCATGAGTTTTCATAGCACTGTTGTTATTGCACAGATGGTAGCATGCTAAGGGGAGCACATAAAAAATATTTTTGGGATTAGGGAAAACTCCCTATACACATGCATCTTCTCAAATTAAAAAAACTAATGGTCTAATTATTGATTGAATACATTGGCATTTCATTTGCCAACATATCTTACCTAATAACAGACAAACATGTAAATTGACCATACTTCTGCTATGCCCACAGCCAAACAGAGTGAGTATGCAAATTAACACAACAAAGATGGTGAATTTGCATATGCAGGCGTGAAGCGCCCCAGAGGGGCAGGATGCCTGCTATGAAGGGGAGGGGAGTGGCTGAGAGAGCGGTGCTCTGGACAGAAGCAAGGATTTGCTGGGAGTGGGGACTTGCTGGCTCCTGGGCGGCTGGGAATGAAGCCAGGGGAAGGAAGGCCTATTCTTGCACAAATATTGTGCAACAGGCCTCTAGTTTCTTATAATTTTGCTTAACGTGCAAAATTCTTTTCAAGCTTTCTTATCTCTTGATGAAATAATAACACATAGCCTTTCTTCATATACTGCTAATATACAGATGTTGATCATATTGACTTCTACAATAAATAAAATGCATTGAAGGCCCTACGTTAACTTTGTGTTTCAAAACTATAAAATAAGAATATTTCTAAAAGGCAGTTTATTACCAACCTCTCATTCCAGAAAAAAAAAAAATTATTATTAGAATGCTTCCATTATTTGTACCTCTTTTTCATATGTAGAAGTTATGACTTGTAGAACACAAAACAAAATCTTAGGTGTGCAAAAAATAGAACTTTATTTTATTACTAGTGCACAAAATTGTGTGCCTCACCCACTGCAACTGCCACTAGCTGCCCCACCCACTATGACTCATGGGCGGAGGGGTAAGGGGACTGAGAGGTGGTCAATGCACCTCATGGCGACTGTTTGAGCGGTTGTTCCGGTTGTTACACTTATGGTCCCTGACCTTTTACGGTATTATATAGGTTAGATAATTTGGAGTCCTCAGCTCATTAGTTGGAAAACATCAGATATTATCAACTATAGGTCTTCTTACAATTCTTTGTGGAATGCTAACCATGTTGGAATCTGCTGAAATCCTTCTTGTTTGCCTTCTGGTTATTATAACAGTAATACCTCTCTTTGTCTGGATACCTTACTCTCATCTATTTCTGATCTACTCTAATGCCAAGGGGGTTTCTGAAACCAATACATAGAGAAAATATCTAAACTGTTTTTTCCACACAGAACTCTATCAAGTTATCTCATTCTCCTTTCTTTGTGTAGACCCCGCAATAATTTCAAGTGTCATTAATCTCAAAACCATTAATAGTAATGATTTTTTTCCAGAATAGAAAATAAAAGAAAATAGCAAACTAATCTACCAAGCAGTGCAACAGAACTAAAGCCAATGTCATTAGTGATGTGATGGGGCAAGGAGCTGAGAACAAGAGGATCTGTGTCTTTTAAATGATAGGAATCCCAATCCCTTTGATTCTAAGACACATTGGTATCATATAATTTATTCTGCTGCAAAACTCATCTTTCAATGGGGAGAATATCCTATCTAAGTAAATCAAGCTCAAGTTCTATGGAAAGAGAGAAGACGATTGATACCATTCTGGATCTGCTTGGTCTTAATACTATAGATTATTGGATTCATAAAAGGGGGAAAGAGAAAGTAGATATAACTCATGACGATATGAACTATATGTGGCACATATTTCCCAAATCGATGGATGAGGGTCAGCCCAGTCACAGTGACATAAAAAACCAGTACACAGCTAATATGAGAAACACAGGTGTTTAGAGCTTTTTTGCTCCTTACCTGAAGCAATGCCCATAACAGTCTTAAGGATTAAAATATAAGAGATAAGGATAAGCATAGAGTCCAAGAAGCCAGTTAATGAGACCAAGGCTATAGGATAAAGTCTATTGAAAGTAATGTCAGCACAGGCCAGTTTGATCACATCTTGGTGTAAACAGAAGGCATGGGAGAGGACATGTGACCTACAGTAGGGGAATTCAGAAAGAGTGATGATTATGGGCACAATAAGTATAAATCCTCGCAGTAGAACCCCTAGACCTGTCTTCACCACCTTAGCGTTGGTGAGAATGGAGGTGTATCTTAAGGGATTGCAGATGGCAATAAAACGATCATAGGCCATAACAAGCAAGACTCCAGACTCCACAATTGAGAGTGAATGGATTAGATAGGCCTGGAAGAAGCAGGCCCCATGGCTAATCTCCCTGTGATTCAGCCACAGAACACCGAGCACTGTGGGCATTGTTGTCAAAGTCACTCCTAGATCTGAGGCTGCCAGTATAGCCAAAAAGTAGTACATAGGCTCATGAA